AAATATTCAACGTGAAACAGTGTAGAAGCTCAAACCTCTTTCTGCAAATTGAATAGCTTTCCTTGGAGCTCTAGCTAGGAGTCTGAGGCTTAAGGGATATCTTTGATTTAAAGCAGGATTTTCAGAACACAAAATGAAAACAAAATGCTTAGGGACCAAAATATTTAATAAACTTTTCCTGGTAGGCTGTGCTGAATGTCTGAAAGTGTTAATGACTGAACAGATGATCATTGTGCAGATGGAAAGCTGAATTGCCTTAACCTGGCCTGTGTGTACACTCCTAACTTAGTGCCATAGTAAAGCAAAGCATATTAAGCTAAGCTAAATATATAGGGTTTATTCCTCAGTTGCAAGGAGTCAAAAGCATGCAGATGGTTAGTTAAAATCTGTCAGATGATCAGTCAGCTTCTCAGACCACAGTAACAGTGGTTTGCAGTTAACTTGATTGCCTGTGATAGTCTGACTGTACCCTTGCTAAACAATGAAAAACCCAGCAGTCTTAATTTTTCATTCTCTGAGCAATAATATTGCACCTGGCGCAACACACACACCACCTGGATGTAACACAGTCCAATAATGTCCTCTGAAGCCTACATGTCATCTCATCCTTTCCATTTCCATGTTCTTTCTTGACTCTTGAGTGAGGTGGGAGTGTTTCAGTCTGGCAAATTAGTGTATTTTTATACTGACACTGAGTCATCCGGAAAAGTTAGGAGCACATTTAAGGATTAGCAACCCATCTAGTATTAAACATGCTTGCATTCATGGAACTGGCTCTTCTCTCTGAGTCTGTGTGACATTCACCAGCACACAGAGAGGGGGGCCAGTTCCATGAACACAAGCATGGCCAGCCCATCTGTTATGGGATTTAAGCTCTTCGGGATAAATCTGCTTCCTTCACGTAATTTGTGCTTCTCCTGGGTACAATCCTCACAAGAGGATCCCTTACTTAATAAAACCCAGTCTGGCCCTGTTAGGAAGAAACATTTACTGAGCTGCAGTTGGCTTTCTGAGCTGCATTTTTGTAAAACCAGATTATTGCCGATACTGGTATTGAACTTTTCCTGCCTGGTGCACTTTTCACACAGTGTGCTGCACAACTGAGTGGTAAGAGATGCTCAGAGAATGATGGGAGAGCCAGTTTCAGAGGGTGGAACTCACTCTTGCTCAAGACAAATCCCACAGGATGTGATATAGGACCCCTGGAAGTCTTACACCTTAACAGAGAGGTAGCTGGACGTGGATTGGGACAGCCTAGGACATTAGATGTCTCTCTTCAGAGAAGTGAATTGAACCCACGGTGTTTCCATTATCTTCAGAAGAATGTGATGGTGTAGAGGCATTGGGACTCTTAGTGGAAAGCTCTTTAGGATATGCGTTATGTCAGAAGCTGTAGCCCTTACCTGAGCCATGGTATTCAGTGCACTAGACACTCCACTTTCCAGTGAGGAAAGTCCCTGACTCTGGGAGTGAGCAGGAAATACCCAAATTTGTCCAGAGAGAAAAGCAGCTGGTGGGGGAAAGGGTCAGAGACAAAGGGTCTGGGTAAGAGCCGACAAGATTGTTTCAGGGAGCAGGAAGAGGAGTCTCAGAGGCAGTTCTGAATTCAGGCTGGCAGGAAAACTTTAAAAAATGCAGATGAGTAGGGCCTGTGTGTTTTCACGATTTTTTTCAGCATTTACATTGACTTGAGCTAGAGGCCACATGACCCATAACTTTCCATCAAAACCAGTTTTTTTTTAGTAAAGCCACTGAAATTGCTGGCTGTCTGGCCTGTGTTAGATGAGTTGCTCTCTCGCTGACAGTCACCATGGAGGGGAAGAGGATGGCACTGACGTGGTGACTGAATGTCCTTTTCAGATGCTACTGAAGATCCCTGTCTGCTCTGAGGAGCAGTCTTACATTGGCACCATGACTAAATAGAAACTGTGCTGAACTATGAGACTCTTGAGTAAAGATTTACTCTACAAGCACTTTAGCTTTCCCCTTAGCAAACTCTTCTTCCAGACGTGTATGTTGCTGCATTTGCACCTGTTATATCTTTAGTTATACATACACGCAGAGAGATAGTGAACTGTAAATTTGGATTTAAAAGGACAGATGATCTCATTCTGACAATATTTATTGCCAGCTCCTTCCTCCATCATGAAGAAGCAATAGGTTGTGAGTCATTTTTTCTTACTGGAGATAGTTTGTGAATTGGAGAGGAGAAATATAAAGAAGATATTTTATATACTTCCAGATGATGCTGATGGATATCGTCTCTTAGAAAACTGATATATTTAAAGAACTTTATAAAACAGATTATCCAAAACCTGATAAAAATAACAGTAAACAATGACATGTATCATTAAATGCTTTTAAATTTTTTTTTAATTATTCACCACTACATTTTCCCTTCACCAAACCTTGTGTCTAACCATATATTTCTATTGCACTTTTCAAAACTTCTTCACATATAGGTAATCTCTGTGAGGCGCTAATTGCCCTCAGCACCAATTACTTTCCCAGTCAATAGTTGTAACAAGTAATGCAGTAGCTCAAGTACTTCCTGCACAAAGGTGATCCAATCCAGTTCCTACTGAAGTCATTGGCACAGATTTTTATTGGAATTTGATCAAACCTTTAATTTTATAGATCATTTTGGACATTGAAGTTTTTCAGTATCAGACAAAAGGTACACAGGGGCCTTACAAAACTGAATTGTTATTGATGAATAATACTGAACGATTGCTTGCTAATTACCATTTGTTATTGTTAGTTTCAGCAGCCAATGACATATTATTAATCCTGTTTTGAATAATTAAAGATGATTCTCTTCAAAGTCTCCTCTTTGTACAATAAGCTCTATTTTTCATATTCTACATGAGCTATTTTTTATCCTGTCTGAAGTATTGAAAAAAAATTATAGCTTAGTAATTGCTTCAAAACAGGAAATTTCCAGTAAATTACAGCATTTTATCTTCTGGAAATAAAAATGCAACATCTCTAATCCTTTGTTAGGATATAGCAGTTTATTCATTTCATTGTTTTTCATTCTACCTTTTTTTTGAGAGAGACAGGAAGTGAGTCTTTCTGTGCTTGCTCTTGAAAATAGGATGAGCAGCACTTGACAGAGTCATCTCAGCAGGTAGATAACTGGACCTGTGTATACATATATATGAATCAAAAAATAGACATAATGGATATCTGCAAAGAAATTTCTAGTAGACTTAGTAAGGAATGGTGTGGGATGCTTGCCACTGCTTTATTTTAAACAGAAATTATTCTACTGAGGTCAACATCATGAATAATGCTGTTTGATTAACAGCAGAGATAACTATGAGCAGAGCAGTTTACCCACTACTGGCTGATGACTCTTGACAAGGCCTGTGGAAAGGGCAAGATTCCTAAAGGTCAGATGAACAAACAGCTACTTCTGAAGTAAGAGAGGAGGTGTGCTTCTTGAGCCTAACATATGATAGAGTCAAGGACAGAGAGGTGCAGACAGTATGACTTGAGTGGAAGGTGCTGGGGATTCATGCATGGCAGGGTTATAAGCAACAGGTCCTTGCTTTAATAGTATTTTTCTACTAATCACACAGCCGTAGCTCCATGATACTAAGTAAATAGCGTTTAGCCACAACATTTTTTAAAGATTTTTTTCCCCCCTTGAATACTTCCAGAAATGTAGTCTTCTGTACAGTAGATCACTTGCTTACAGAAATAGAAAATGCAATTTTGCCTGTTTCATCTCTATCAGTTTTAAGTTCAGTGATGCAAGGAGAGAATAGGGAGCCCAAGACTTTTTTAAGTCAATCTGTCTACCATTGCTTGAGGTGGGAAAGCTTGAGTTTCATCTGGGGTTACTGGTGGAACAAACTGATCTTTCAAGTAGGCTGAAATCATCCATGAAGTCTGTAGCAAAACAATAAGATTTTGTCAAAAAGAATGACGCTTTTTTGGTTGTAAAAAAAAAAAAAAAAAAGTGGAGGGCTGTGACTATAACAAGAAAAGCATTTGCCTGAAGGAATCAAACATCCCTGTTTATAGCAGAGATAGTGTCTACAATACAGAAAATTATCAACTATCTGTAGTGGTTTACTTTGTTGTTTCTTATTCTGTACTTTTTTTGGCAGTTTGTTGTAAAGGAAGGGGGACAGACTGATGATGAGTAAGGTGGAAGAAGTGCTATAATCATTATGGTCAAACAGTGCAGAGCACATGTGCCAATGCTTACAAAAATTGCTTCTTGCTTTGGGGAAAGAAATCAGTTATCTGTTAACTTTCATATACAAAGGGAGGTTACCTGTGATTTGAATTTATTAGATTAAGTTTACACATTGTCTCTACTCCAGGTAAGGACAGGTAAACAGCATACTGCTCTTCTGATTTCCCTGATTATTCATAGGTTTTAACTCATGTTTTTAAGCCCTGATCATAAAGGCCTTTTCTGTGTACTTGTATTGGGTTTGCATGCAAGGTTTTGATAGTGTGTGTGTGTGGGGTGGGTACAGGGGTGTTTTCTGTGAGAAGCTGCTAGAAGCATCCCCTGTGTCCAACTGAGCCAATGCTGGCAGGCTCCAAGACAGACCCACCACTGGCCAAGGCCGAGCTCATCAGCGGTAGTGGTAGTACCTTTATGGTAACATATTTAAGAAGGGGAAAGAGCCTACTGGGAAAGAGGTGCTGGAAGAGAGAAGTGAGAATATGTGGAAGAAAGAACTCTGCAGTCATCAAGGTCAGTGAAGAAGGAGGGGCAGGAGATGCTCCAGGTGCCAGAGCAGAGATTCCCCTTCAGCCCGTGGTGAAGACCCTGGTGAGGCAGGCTGTGCCCCTGCAGCCCATGGAAGTCCATGCCTGAGCAGGTGGATGCCCAAAGGAGGCTGTGACCCTGTTAGAAGCCCATGCTGGAGCAGGGTCCTGGCAGGACCTGTGGAACTGTGGAGAGAGGAGCCCACGCTGGACCAGGTTTGCTGGCAGGAATTGTGACCTGCTGATGCGGAAGTCCCGGACACAACTTTTATGACCATGTGATCAAGTTAATGCCACTTTATTAAAGGATACACAGCAATTTATAGACTACCATGAAGTACATGTGCAGCTACTTGATTGCTAATAGGCTAAAGCTACTTGTCCATGTGCCCTTTTGCCCTCTATGATTGGTCCCGGTGTGGTGTCCACGAGCTGTTCTCTGTTAGGCAAACATCTTGTTTGCAACAGTCCAGCTTCCTTATCTTTTTGCCCCTTGGCCTTGCAGGTGTTCTTCACAACAGCTACAGCCTGTTGTTACAGTGAGGCCACTCGGTCTGGATCACTCAGAATATGTCCATTGTTTTCCAGCCATTCCACAGTGACCCTGGTAGGCACCTGGGATCCAGCCAAGGTCAACCCACTTCAGTACCTGATGGAGTATATTCAAAGTGCCTTTTCCTCCTCAAGCCTTTACAACCAGCCTTAAAATTATTTACTTCAGTAGTGGAACCAGGAGAGCATCAAGTAATTCAGAGCTGATGGAAGTTCAGGGGTTTGTCTTCATCACAGGCATTATAATAGGCATATGTTGCCTCTTGTTTTTTGAAGAATGGTTCATCCTGGTATTTTGTGATAATAAACAGCTGTAAGATAAGCACCGCTCTTGTGGTTAGACCAACATCATGAGAAAAAAAATACTGATTTTTTAGACAAACTTTGAAGTAGTAATTTTTTTATTTCCCCTTCTGGTGAGCCAGGTGGAAGGAAGACATTTAACTTTACTGGAGCCAGTTGTTCTTACCTGATGTCCTCAACTCCATGATTTGGGACTTCTGACATCATGTTTTCCATTGCCAGCAAATTTTAAATTTGTAAATACTTACAAGTATTAACAATCAACAAGAGTAGGGATGAAAGTCCAGATAGTAAGACTTGGCTCAATGAAATTTATGACAATACTCTGATTTCCATTTTGAAGCAACATTAGTGTGTTGTTCCTGACTATGGCCTGCTGTATGTGGTTAGAAGAGTCGTTTGCTTGAAAAAAAGGATTCATGAACAACCGTGCTGTGTTTGTAGTTGATTTGAGTGATGGAAAAGCTATGAAGAAGCTCTCTCTCATAGAACAGAAACTTTATTTTTAGTCTTGCACAATGCCTTTCGTCTTTCTTACAGCTCTTATCAAACCATAAAAGTTGCAGTGTATATCTATGCTGCTACAGCCAGGCCAGAGGATGGCAAAGTTCCCTCATTGCAGCTGTGTCTAATGTATTTCATTTTGTGTTGCCTTATGCATTGGCAAATTATTTGTGGGAGAAGGGACGGAATGGTTCAGAGAATTGTTAAAGAACAAGCAAGCCTCTAGAATACTGATATAAGATGCTTTCAATTAATAGTTACCAAATGTAATTAATACCCATTTTGTTTTTAATGCATATGGAAGTAATTTGAAGTTCTGCGGGAGACTGCTAGCAAATAGCTACAGTCCAGGGAATTCATTGGGTAAGGACCTTCCTCTTGCACAATGGATAGACCCTCCAGTGCAAATTTCAGGTCCATTTTTTGGGAAATGAAATCAAAACAACATCTAGTGCTGTGTCTTGTGGCAAGAATGCTTGAGCTGGCAGGTAGTTCAGTCTGCCATCTTACACTGTCTCCAAGGTGTATGTAAAGAAGATGCAGATATATTTTCTTGATAGAGTCTAAAACTGACTGATGGTTATCAGAAACCCTCATCATTATTTGGGTGTAACCTAAATCTAAATGTCACCAGTTCCTGTTGTACGCACAGAACTCAGATGGCCAGGGCAACTGCTGAATATTTGTTACATGCTGTTATATTTAGTGCTTAACAAGCGGTACACTTGTGGAAACACTGATAATCAATTTAATGTGAGCTATCACTTTTAAATGGCTTTTGTTACTTTCTGTCTCATCAAGGTGTTGCTCTGGTGTTGTGACTGGGTAGGAGTGGGAATGCACAGGCACTTCCCAGGATCTTCGATATACCCAAAACGTAAGGAGTTGTTAGTGGAAGGTGCTAAGTCATTATGATTAGAGAAATTTTAAGAGTTTCTTTCCTGATTTCCTTCATCCTGGGCAATATTTAACCCACAGCTTGTTTATTTTTCTGCTTTTGAGCATGACATAAATATGCTGAAGTCTCTTATCCACATTAGTGAGTCTCTGGGCTGGATCTTTGGGAATTAAGTCACTCTTATTCTGTTTACACTAAAATATAATTTACAAGGTATATTTATAAAATCTGCTGGCATAAGCTTTTTGTCCCTTTGACCTTGTGCATCAAGCTAATACTCTGTAATGTAGATGCACATACTGTATCCTTGCAGGAAACTGTAGATAGCATTTCAGAGATCTAGTCCTTTACTAGGACAAGGTTGTTCCATGCCTAAGTGTCCTTGCTGATCCACCTGCAGATGCAATGTGCCTTAACCTCACAAGGGAATAGATAGAGCAATAGAGAACATGATCACATACCAGGGGTCTGGAATAGCCTTATTGTGTGCTGTTTACTATTCCACATCTCCATCTCTGTTGCATGTCAGCAAAAAAGGAAATGTTGCTGCCTTTGAATGTTGTGAGAGAGGACCTGACATGAAGAGAAAGACTGACAATTAAGAAAAAATATGAGCTGAAGGACACACAATTGTTTCTGCTGTGAGTCCTAAAAATTGATTTATGACCCTTAGCCATTTAGATTTCTCAGTGAGTCTCTATAAAAATATAGTATTATGAAACTGGAATTAATAAATATTCATAAAAGCATATAAAAAATAAACATCACACAGAAATTTAACTTCTAACTTTTCTAAATACTTGCAGTGTTTTAAAATGTGCCCATGTAATTTAGGAGTTACATGACCATTCTTTCATCCTTGAAATCAAATGGTTACCAATTATTTATGGTGGACTTTTCCATACAAACAACAAACTAAAAACACCTGAATCGACAAAACAGGAGAGGTAAAAGCGGTATTTCTTACTGTTATGCTTTTGAAAGTTGGTAAGTACTTGCCCCATGTTGGCCACCAAAAAAGAGTCTGGTGGTTTGACCTGTAGTACACACCACAGGGCTACAAAATGGCTGGGGAAGGCAGTGTGGATTGCTCCTCCTTTAGGAAAAGTCAAGCCCACTCATGGGATTGTTTTTGCTCAGGGATCTGGATGTACTTGGTGGGTAATGCGGGAGGATGGGACTACTCAGTGTATGCCTCAAGGGCATTTAACCTTGAGGGGAAAATATCTGTGGGATGAGTTGTATGTTGCAGGAAGAGATGGAGGAAGTAGGAATGATGAAAAGTGAACCAGATACGTGCAATGACAACCCAAACCTACTCAGCGCTGGAGTCCAACAGTCAAACACACTGCTCCTGTCCTGAACATCCATCTTGACAGATGGTAGCCAAGTCACTGAACATCTGGAGGAGTGAAGAAAGCTTATGGAATGGATAAATGAATATTATGTGGGACCTGGGCATGATGTAAATTCTATGGAATAAGGGGTGGAGATTGTACTGGGTCTGGCTGAGCTGGAATTGGTTTTCCCCTACAGCAGCCCTCACGGTGCTGTATTTTATGCTGGGAACTGGAAGGATGTTGATAACACACCAGTGTTGAGGCTACTGCTGAGTAGTGCTTACATAACACCAAGGCTTTTCCCAAAATTTTCATCTCCCAGTGGGACGGGGTGGGCAAGATCTTGGGAGGGGACACAGCCAGGACAGCCGACCCGAACTGACCAAAGGGATATTCCAGACCATGTGACATCTGCTCAGTATAAAGCTGGGAGAAAGGAGGAAGGGGCTGGGGTCACCCTTGGTCCTCCGAGGCAGCCACTACGGGTATGGGAGCCCTGCTCCTGAGAAGGCCCGACAGTGCCTCTTCATGGGAAGGAGAGAATAAATCTGTTTTCTTTTTGTGCACACAGACCTTTGCTTCACTTTGCTTATATTAAAACTGTTTCTGTTTTACCCACAAGGGTTGAGTTTTTTTTCCTGTCTTATTTTCTTTCCCCTCTTTGCTCTGCTGAGAAAACAGGGGGAAGGGGGGGAAGTGACTTGGTGGGTACCTGGCATTTAGCCAAGGTCAAACCACCACGTACTACATGCTGTATATTGACTCTATGTCAGTTTTTCCTTTGCAGTTCTTCAAATTGTATGTAACACTGATCAAAGGAACCGTCAATGCAATACCTCTCTACATGGAGGTGAGGGGCATACTGAGCATATATCAACACAACACAAGAATCCAAAATGAAATGCTAAATAAATGGTCACTCAGTGCACCAGATAGCAGCTAGAAGATGAGACCTTTGAGTGGTTAGTCTTAAATCACAAGAAAAAAGCCCTAGTTGGATCTATAATTTGAAATTCATCCTTCAAGAAATTAATCTGTAAAACAAATCTTTTTACTAAGCCTAAATTTACAGACTCTGAGAATGTACAGGACTCTCCTTAGGTAACCTGTCAAGTTTATTTGTCTCTCCAGACAGATTGCCAACCTATTTTTTCAATGTTCACATACCAACAGCAATCTAATAGAAATAGGTGAAGCATGAAATAAAAAAGAGTGTATACATGGAGTCTAGGCCTCCCTGTCAAATAAGAAGGTGCAGGGTTTTAGTTGTTATTTGACAGAGAGTTTCAGTTGCCCCTTTCTTACAGCCTATCCCTAAGCTCAAAAATCAAGAGTTGTGAATGTTCTGTTATCACTGCATCTGCTTCATCTGCCCCTCATATATGACATGTACTTCAAAAGACAAAGATGATGTTTCAGCAGGTTGAAAATGTCCTTGTGATTATTTCATAAGGTTGCATGAAAACCAGGGACAAGAGGTGAGTGATTTGCTGATGCCCCTCTATCCTGTGTGAGCTGTACAACAACATTTGTGAAAACTATCCCCTGGTAATAGCCAGAGGAAGTGGTAGTTGCCACTTTGAAAAAAATTAGGAGGTTATAAAAACACTGCAAAACAAAGTAGGTGTGAGTGTATGTTCTTGTTCCACTCCCATCCAAGTCTTGTTAAATCCACTGGGGACCTCAGGGTTCAGTATTTCTCTGCTTTCAGGATATGAATCTGCATATAAAAGCAGTATCAAACTGAACAAAGGGGCAGGGAAGGAGGACAGCTCTTTTGTTTTAAGAAAATCATGGCAGCAGTGAATCAGCAGGATGGCAGGAGGAAGTAAAATATCCATTCC